ATAATTTCTTGTATGTTTTATGTCTTAATATAAAAACTACGATTGACATAACTATAATGATTGACTTAAACCTGTTTCCAATCGTCTTGTCCTTTTGTTTCCCTTTTTTTTCCTTCTTTTATGTATGTGTTGTTCGCTTGATCTTTAATCATTCAGGAAAGGAAAAGAAGTTTGTTGATAGACAAGAAAATTTTCCTTTTCCTATTCCTTTTCTTCAAATATATATATAGTTTTTCTCTTCTTCACCAAATTACCTAAATAAAGTCATCAATCAAAACGAATTCATTTCATAATACTCTCTCTTGTGTATATATATATATATATACCCGATCTCCGGTTCGAATATCAACAACAATAGCAGCTGCATTGACAACAATAATAAGTGCATAGTTAACGACGAATCTATATTTTTTTTAAACGTTCATTTTCCTGTTTTTCTTTCATCTTTATAAAATAGAAATAAAAAAAAAAAGAAGTGATCGTCATCGACGAGAACTAATACACAAGAAAAGGTAATAAAACAAAATCTTTTTATAGCAATACTTATTAAAGATAAAAGCATTAGCCTTTCAGTATTTAACAACAAACATATTAGCCTAGTGTTTATCCTAAATGTTACTAAAATCTTCTAACCATTAATCTTTTTTGCTGTTTTTTGTGTCCCATAAGGTCATAATCATTCATATATATTTCTTAAGATCATGCCTATAGAAATGTCGCAACAAGAAATCATTATAGAAAATTTCATCTATAATAGTTATAAATTATCTGCTCTTGTTTTTTGTGAGTTTTATCATAAAAGACTAATCTCTTTTAATATATGGGGTTACTTTTGCTTTTTACTGAATTTGATGAGCATATATATATATATATTTTTTTTCTTTTGCCTAGAAATTTATCATTCCCATTTACTATAGAACTACAACATACATATAAATTATCAGAAAATTGGAAGTTCATATAGTACGCTTGTAATACAATTATCATGATTGCCTATACATCACTTGAATGTAATAGCTTTGAACTAAAAGATTGTCATCACTATAAAAACTAAGCATTATAACAAATCATTTCCTGAAAGACATTTCAAGAATAAATATATATATATACATGCAATTTCTGTCATTTATTTGGTTCAAATGAAAGAAATGTTGCATGATCGTTTTTTCTATTTTTATTATTGTTTATATCTTTTATTACCTATATTAATTGTTGGTAATGATGATTTTAATAATAAAATGAATGAAGAAACACAATTAATACGTATGCTTTTAAAAGAAAAAGATTATTTAAAAAATGTTCGTCCATCACAAACAGTTATTGTTGATATACGTTTTGTTTTTAATCAAATAATATCAATGGTTGAAAAAGAACAAATTATTGTTACAAATTGTTTTGTTGATCAAAAATGGACAGGTAATATAATAAAAAAAAAAGATTTATCGAAAATATTTTAATGTATGTATATGTTTGTTAATAAATAAAAATTCATTTTCTAGATTCTCGACTTATTTGGAATCCATTAGATTATAAAAATATTACTTGGATACGAATTCCAGCCGTTTCTGTTTGGTAGAAAATTTAAATTCGAGATTTGACTAAAAAACTTTATTCTATTTAGGTATCCGGATACATTTTTATATAATACGGCTGATAATGCTGGTTTTCTTCTTCCACAAGATTCACAAAATGTAATTGTTAGTTACAATGGTACAATATTTTGGCCATTACCTTTAGCACAATTACGTACACGATGTCGAATGACTATTAAACATTTTCCATTCGGTACATATGTTTATTTTGATAAAATTTTTGAATATTAAAAAAAACATTTAGATCAAATTTGCTATTTTTATTGATAGCGTGACAAAAAAAGAAAAGAAATATACATCACTAAATGTATTTATTCTTTTTTTGACATTTTCTATTAGTTGTCATGCAATCGAACCATATTTCACAGTTTATATTAATAATAATAATAATAATAATAAGTTTTTTATTTATATATTTTTTTTTATTAGATGAACAAACATGTGATATGATATTTGGTTCATGGAGTCATACAAGTTCATTAATACATTATAGATTTTGGGAAAAATCACCTGAATTACCACAATATACACCAAATAATGAATGGAAATTATTAGCTGTTGCACAATCAATAAAAACTGTTCAATATCCAAATTGGGTTGAACCAGATACATTTTTTGAAATTAATTTTACTATATTAATTGTACGAAAACCTTTACAAGCTATTTATAATACTGTTGTACCTGCATTAATGTTAACAATATTAACACTTGTATCATTTTTTGTAAGTTTTAAGTTTTCATATATATATACAAGGTGGTCCAAAAGTTACCGGTCAGTCTTAAATTGTGAATAACTTTTAATAGGAACAAGATTTAGACCTGCGATTTTCATCATGCGAAAGAACGATGTTCGGACCATCGATTTACATAATATTCACTAAGACGAAAGATGCATTTTCATATTGACATTTTTTTTTTTTTGTTTGTGTATTTTCGCAATAATCTCCATCTCAAATTACGCCAAAATATAACTCAAATCATCCATTTTTTCCTATATAATTATTACTTAATGCATTATTCCGTCGACCTCTTTTCTCAAGTGAACTTTCGAAAAATGGGTGATTTGAGCTACATTTTGGCGTAAATACACAAACAAAAAAAAGAATGTCACTATGAAAAAGTATCTTTCGTCTTAGTGAATATTATATAGATCGATAATCCGAATATCGTTCTTTCAAATGATGAAAATCTTATATCTAGATCTTGTTCCTATCAAAATTTATTCGCAATTTAAAACTAACTTGTAACTTTTGGACTATCCTGTATTAATTTTCTTTGTTAATAGATACCTTTTGCACAAGAAATGCAAATTGGTGAGTTTTATAATTCTTAAAAGAATATTTAATTAGAATTTTTATTATTTATAGGTATTAGTATTATGTTAGCTTATTCCGTATTTAGTTTACGTTTATCTGAAGATGTTCCATCTCAAAGTGATAGTGTACATTTAATAAGTTTATATTTAACTATTTGTATGTTCTTCTCATTATCAGCAATGACTTGGTTTGCTATAGCAAATAAATTACGTGAAAAAAAACGTTTACCTTATTGGCTTCGTTGGTTAGCACTTGATTATATTTGTTGGATTGTATGTGCAACAAGTATGCATAGAAAAGCAGTACATACTGCTGCTAAACAACAATCAAAAATTTCTACAATGACACCATCAACACCAATTACAATTCCATTACAACCATTAATAACAACAAATTCAATTGAAAATTCAAATAAATCATATTCTCAACAAATATCTTTACCAAGTAAAATTACACATCATACACAAACAGATAATATTCAATGTATGAATGAAATAAAAACTACACCAAAATTATGGATTCGTCGAACATTATCAAATACACAATCAACAATATTAAATGGATCTGAGAATAGAAAACATATGACTCATATAATTAAAAAATCTCATCAAATAAAAAATTCATCATTAACAAAAATTCAAGAAAGTTTATATGCTATACATATAATTAATCGTTTAGTTTTTTTTATGTTTCTTTTTATTGTTATCGTTATTAATATTTATACATGGTTTATATATTCACGAACAGTTCAAACAAAATTATTTGATAATCAAACAATATGGACATGTTTTGATGAATCTCGTCTTGAAGTTATTAATTGTAATGAAACATTTTAAGAAATTTTTTGTTTGTCCTATTTATAAAATAAATAAATAAAAAAAAAAAAGAAACGAATGTACGAACATTTTTTTATTTATCAACTTCAACTTGTCAAGTGTAATAAAAACTTATTGATATCTAATCGTTAGATAATTAAAAATATTAATATCTCATATGTAAAATTTACATGTTATCTAACATAAAGATTATCAACAATAATAACAAAATATAAAGCGTTCTTTAAAACAAAAGAAATATATATATATATATATTTGCATTGTTAAATGAGAAAAGAGCAATAAATCGAATATATTCAATAGTAAGAAAAAGAATTAGTAAAAAGAAACAAATAAAAACTAAATGTAGAAATAAATCATCGTTTTTCAAAAGAGTTTTAACTAATATACTGCCATTTGTACAAGTATTTGCAAGATTAACCTTGTTTTTTATGAATAAATTAAGCGACTTCTAAATACTTAAGGTTTATTCAAACTCAATAATATTATTGCTTGAATGGAATTGATATTTGATCAACGTAATCAAATGTGTCATATGCATGTCAATCTCGAAAAAAAACGTCATTGAATCAAATATTCATCGATAAAAAAATGAAAAGAAATATAGGAAAATTATTTTTTTTTTTCTTCTAAATGTCTGATAACGGTGATATTTCTTTTATATTAAAAGGGTTGTTCGTGACCAACATTCATAAAAAAAAAGAAGCACACCTGAGTATTTATTCATTCTCTCTTGAAAAAAAAAGAAAAAAGAAATAATAATTTGCAGTTCGATTATCAGTAAAAACTCTTTCTATGTCAATAGAATCTCTAAGTAAAAAGAAAAAAAAAAAAAAAAAATTTTAACCACAACTTCCCACTTTTCTAAATCCTACACAGTATGTTCTTTTGTTGTTGTTTTGTATGCTTTGAATAGTGTCGACGCAGATGGAATTTATTTTTATTGATCGAGCGAGAGTGTCGGTTGTAAAGGACAACAAAAAAAACACCGGTAGAAACCGAGACGGGAGCGACAAAGACACAGAAAAAAAATATATTGTGGTAATAGGTAGAAGTAAGAAAAAAAAGAGAGAGAGAGAGAAAGGAAGAAGGTGAGCAACTGGAATTTTGTCGATTACTTTTGTTCGTCTTGAAGTTTCTTTCACTATAATAAAAGTATTAGCAATACGATGGAATAGAAAATTTACATTTTTTTTTTTTACTTTTATTTTAGTTTTTTTTGTATCAATCAGTACTTTTCTAAGAAACAAAAAAAAATGTACAGACGATATGAAGAACGACAAGGAGGAGTTACACGTGAATATCAGGAAGTTGATGATTCCCGTAATAGATTATCAACGACAACAGAAACAACTTATCGATCAACAATGAGTCCACGCGTTACTAACGTACAACGATCACGTCCATTGGCTTTCGGTGGTGGTGGTGGTGTTACGACACGAATCTATCAAAATTTTCAAGCAGGCGGTGGTGGACGTGGTGGTTTTGGTCCAGGTCTTGCTTCTTTAGCAAATTTTCCTGGTGTACCAATACGTGGTTCAGGAAATGTAAGCACTGCTTTAGTTGGTCTTACTTCAACACGTCATCGAGATAAACGTGAACTTGAACAATTAAATGATAAATTTGCACAATATATTGAAAAAGTACGATTTCTTGAAGCACAAAATCGAAAATTATCACTTGAATTAGATGCATTACGAAATCGTTCAGGACAGTATGTTTAAATTTTAAAATTAATAAATATAATATTAATTTTTTTTTTCTTTATCTAGAGGTTCATCACGTATCAAAGAAATGTATGACATTGAAATGAAAGAAGCAAGTAGATTAATTAATGTTGCAAAAGATGAAGCTGATGCTGCTAATAGAAAAGCTCAACAAGCTGAACAAGAAGTTAAACGACAACGTGCACGATATAATGAAGTAACTGGTTTAAGAGAAACTGATCGTAAGGAAATGGATGCTATTGAACGACGAATTGCTGAAAATCAAGCTGTAAGATTTTTTTTTTATTTTTGCAATCATTTTTGAATATTCTTTATAATAATAATTATTATTATTATTGAAGGATAAAATGATTAAAGTCAAATATACTTCATGTTAAATATTTGCACATTTCTATTATTCAGACATACGATACGATAGTGTAAATTATACAATATTAAATTTTTTTTTTTAATTCTCTTACAGTAATTTTAATCATATATAAGTAAAAAAGACAACAATTAAATAATGAATAAGTCTAATTTTTATAATCATTTTCTATATGTTAAAGAATTTCTACCTCATAGATAGATGTGATTAAAATGTGTGTGCAAGTTAAAATTATTTGCTGTAGAATAATAAACAAAAGAAGAAAAAAAAAAATCTACCTAGACATTCAATAGAAGTATACTTGAATAGTTTTGTTATGATAATAAATTATTCTATGAGAACAATCACAATTTAATCAATACCTTTATTGAAATAGAAAAACAAAAAGAAGAAATTCTTTACATTTCAATGTACATAAAAAGAAAAAATTTCTTTGAATTTTTTTTTTTTTTTCTATAGCAAATAAATTTATTTCGACGTCGTATTGCTGACCTTGAAGATGAAGCACGACGATATAAAGCTGAAAGTCAACGTCTATCATCTGAAATAGCACGTATTCAACATGAAATACAAAATGAATTATTTCTTAAATCATCATGTGATGTTGAAAAAATGGCTTTACAAGATGAATTAGCTACACTTAAACAAATACGTAAAAGATATATTTATTAATTAATTAAATAATTATATTTCATCTTTTTTTTTTTAGATGATTCTGATTTAGCTGAAATTCGTGCACGAGCTATAACAACTGATCTTGATCCAACAAAATTTTTTCGTAATGAATTAGTACAAGCTATACGTGAAATTCGTAATGATTATGAAACTGATGTTGATAATAAACGTACTGAAATGCAAAATCGTTATTCAATTATATATAATGAATTATTTATGCGTTTAAATCGACCAGATACAAATCCAATTTATAATGAACAACAACGTCGACAAGAAGAACGTTTTCGTAGTGAAATATTACAAACACAAAATCAAAATGGTTATTTACGAGCAAAAAATCAAGATATTAAAAATCGTATTGATGAACTTCAACGAAAACTTCAATCATTACGTGAAGATGGTGGTTTTGTACAAGGACGAGCATCAAAAGATATTGATGAAGCACGTCGTCGATTAGAACGTGCAAATCGTCAATATGATGAAGTAACAAGTTTAAAAACATCATTAGAAAAAGAAATTAATACATATAGAGAATTACTTGAAAGTAATATAAATATTCTTTTTTTAGTTTTTAAATTTATATTTTTTGTCCTCATAGGTCAACAGGGTCTTCGTGGATATGTTGATCGAATTGTACAAAATGCTGAACAACAAGCTTTTGATCGATCTATTGGTGATAGTAGTACTAGTGGTAGTCGTACTGGAGGATCAACAACTATTCGACGTACAGTTTATACTACAAGTGGTGGTGGTGGTGGTGGTAGTTCAAATTATGGTTATGGAAGTGTAAGTGGTTCTGGTAGTATTAGTAATCTTGTTAATCAAACTGTACGACCATCAAGAAGTTATGAAACATTACAATCTGGTTTTCGAAGTTCATATCGTGAAAGTTCTGGTGGAAACTATTAAATGATTGTTATAAGCCATTTAATGGGAATAATAAACATTTTGAACTTAAATATGTAGTCAATGAGTTTGTCGTTGGTTTTATTTAAACTATTGTGATATAACATAATAATTAATTATAAGTTTTCGTTTTTATCTTTCTCTCATAAAAAATAAATACAATTTTATGCATAGTGATATTGACTACAATATTTGTTTGAATTAATATATATATATTGTAATGAATAAATAAACTTTTTATGTTAATAAAAAAAAAAACAGAAATTATTTGATGATGATCAATCAACATTCAAAAAAAACGTTTTTTGAAATGTGTTTAAAGATGTATCAAGTTCATTTTTAAGTGTTTTTGTTTTTTTTTCACTGAAAAAATAAAACCAAAAACATTTCAGAAGAAAGACATACTCGTCCTCTTAGCTCATCATCGCTAACATATCACATTGAATTATGACGACTGAAAGTGTGTTTGTTATTTTTATTTATGAAACAGTAATGAAAATAAATTTAATATTATTATGAATGAAATTCTTGAATTCTTCCTTCTATGAGATATAAAAGTTAAAAATGATTTCTCTTCGCTGATCGCAAATAGTCATAATTCATTTTTTATGACTGAATATTTTTGTTGTAACAAACTTGAGTGTATATTCTTCTTTTTTTTTTGTCCGGTGAAAAATATTATTTTATTTGCTTAGGAGAACTAAAATCCTAAAAAATATGTTTTTCTTTGCCACGAGCAAATACCATAGGATCATGCAAAAATCATCCTATGATTATTTGAAGAAGAATATATATATATACATCTAGATTTGAATATAGTTGTTACAAGAAAATTTAAGTCAATTGTTCGAAGAGTCTATAAAAAAAAAACGCGAAATAAAACTTTAATTTTTTTTTTTTTACAAAATGTACACTTGACATTTAAAGAATCAGAATTTGATGCCGTCTCTCTAAATGTGTGTATTCAGAATTTTTGTTCCAACTTGAATTTGAATCATTGAGAGTAAATCTTTAATGAAGACCAAAAAATGACGTTTGTACAGAATATTTTATGTAGTCTGTTTTTGTATTTTGTTTTAAATTACCTCAACTCAAATTTTAGAAAATTTGTTTTTATACACCAGTTTGTAGAACGAAGCTTATTCTACAAAAGTCCAATTTGCTTTGCTTTCAACATATCATTAGAATCTTTAAATATAGAAAATCGATAAAAAAACGAACCATTTTGAAACCCATGATTTTGTAGAACATTAAATTCTTTACAACAATATAAAGTAAAAATTATCCTTTAGAGAAATTACGAATGAAAACTTTAACAAATATTCTATTACATCTGTTATAAAACACATTTATCTATCATGACTATTAATCAGATGCATCATATATTGTTAATCCAATTGTTTCTCTCATTTCGATCATCATCAAAATGTGTTATTTTAAAAAAACAAAATCTATATTTATCCTAAATCAGCTCTTCTTCAACTCATATAACTAACACTATACATAAATTTTATTTCAATGTGTCAACAAAAAAATCCAATAATTCATTCAAATATCAAGATTTAACTATACTAGAAGACAAAAACAAAAAAATTCTATATTTTTTTTCATCATCTGTTTTCAATCCAATTGATATTTATTATCATATAGAAATAATAAAAATTGATCAAATGAAAAAAATCTAATTGAAAACAAATCTAACAAGTTCCTGTTATAAATTACACATTAATTTGCAAAAGTGACAAAATTAAATACTAAAAAAATATATCCGGTTTACAAAAAAAAAAAATTTTAGATCAGAAAAATCATGAGAGATACTTTTTTTTATGAGTTTTCATATTTTATTTATCATGTTCTTATCAGCTGTTTTCATTCTAATTGATGATTTTTCTTTTTTTCTTTTCATCATAATTAATATGATGTTTCATCATTTCATTTTCCAATACGAATATTAGTTATCATTTTCAATTTCAACCAATTGAACAATTTCTTTCTATTTCTCTTTCTCTCTCTCTCTCTTTTTTTTGAAAGAGACAAAAACAAGAGATAAATTGTATATTTTAATACGACGAACGATCATTTCTATTTTTCATTACGTCACTTACATATATAGTTCAACGTTTTTTAGTATTCATTCAAAAATTTGACAAAAAAAATACAAAACATGATTCGTATTAAACAAGATCCTGATGCATTAGATTTAACGAATCATTCACATTCACCTATAATTGAACATGATGATGATGATGAAGAAAATTTTTCTAATGAAGATGATACACATGATTGTATTATTCCAAAAGTATAAATCAAAAAGTTTTTTTTTTTTTTATTATGTTTATTCATTCTTTGTTTTTTTGTTTTTTAAGAAAACATCATATGATAGTGGTTTTGTTGATACAAGTGATGTAAATAATAGTTCAATTATGATTAAACAAGGTGTGTTGAACTATTTAATGAATAACCACCATAGGAATAATTCATTTTAATGTCCCATCTTGCATATCTCTCTCTCTCACCTCAAGCAATAATATTTCCCGTCAGTAGGAGGTCTCATAATTGTTAAATAGTATGAATAGAAATAATATATTGAAAATAAGAATAACTAGACACCTTTCTCTTGATCAATTAAACCCTGGAGGTTATCGTTTATTTTTTTGTCTTTTGTTTTAATAGAACAAAATCATCATCATCATTATCATAGTACTCCACTTCGTCCTCAACAAATACATAAACATATTCGTCATCCAAGTACAAGTAGTAGTGCTTGTTCATCACCAACACGTCAAGAACAATCAAATGATAAAGAATGTCGAAATACACGGTAAGATATTAAAAAAAAAGTTTTTGATTAATTTAACAAAAAAAGTTTTTTTTTAGATTTTTAGGTAGTCGAGCTGTTTCAATTTTAAATCAATGGTTTCAATTAAATCGTGATTATCCATATCCGGATGATGAACGAACAGAACAATTAGCAAATGAAGCAGGTAAACTTTCTCAGAACAAAAAAAAGTATTATTTTCTAAAAAATACGAATTATAATTTTGATATAGGTATTACTCAAAAACAAGTTAAAAAATGGTTTGCTAATAAACGTGTACGTAGTCAAATGTGTTATAAACCATTATATCGATCTCGAAAAGTAAAAAAACCAAAAACCTTAAATTTTTTTATTCACATTTTAATCTTTCTATAGACTCGAAATTCAACATCTACTATTCCTGAACGACATTCACAAACAAATTATAATTATATTATTAATCATAATAATATTGCAACAACATCAACAAATCCAATGTTATTCAATCCAATGGCAACATCAATGATGATGTTTATGATGCAACAACATTTTTTAACAACAATGATGACTACTGGATTTCCTCAACCATCAATTGCACCACCACTACCACCGCCATTACCGCCACCACCACCACCACCACCAACATCAAATGTACGAAAACCAAATGTTGATCGAATTACTCGTTTTTGGTTATAAGAAAACAAAAAAATGAACATCATTCCGACAGACAATGAGAAATGACACTCTCAATAATACGCGGGCATTTATTTGTTTCATATGCAATGTATTTTGTTTCGTTTTTCTGTCTTCTTTATGCTTAATTCTTTTTGTTTTCGCATTGCAACAAAATGTGCATATGTGAGAGTGTATTTTTTTTTTCGATTTTTATCTATTAAAACTATAAAAAAATTCAACTGATTCTTATTGATTGAGTTTTAGTCGAATCGAACAAGATTTAGGATTATAGTCAAGGCCCGAGCGAAGGATCAAATATTAGGGAGGAGTGTTTGGCAGATTGGGAGGGTGTACATCCTCTTAAACCGCCCCGCTCGCGCGGAGTCTGATTATAGTTTATGTGAAAGTTGTAATATTTCAGAAGACAAGTTATTCTGCCCATTTAGATATTTTGTTGGAATTATAGACACAACGCATATTTTATAATAACTACAAAGTTTGAAGAGTTAACTCGATTTTTCGGAATGGTTTTGTCTTTGAATACGCTCGACGAAATACTGAGCGAAGTAGTTTTGAAAATGTCACGGTTTAGTAAAATTATTATTGTTAGAAATAGATTTTTATGAAAGAATGTTCGCTATAACTAAGTTCTAAAAAATTTCGAAGTTATATTTGAAAAGAATACAAAATTCTGATTCTTACCGAATGTTTTTGAAATTACTTTTCGATTTATTTGTTATTAATATTTTTATTTTAAGTACATATTATATGTGTTTTTAGTTAAAAATAATCGATAATTTTCTTAGACAACACTTAAGGTATGTTTATTTGGTGTTAATTGAGAAAAACATTCGATCGAAAAGATAAAAAGCATTATTCATATTGCACAGGTAGGGATCCGTATTTTTTTTTCTTGTTCTTCCTCTCTCTCTCGAGAGAGAACCGTTGTCTTCTTTGATGTTTTTTCAATACTATCGAATGGTCTGGCCACTTTGTCGTTCGATTCCAATCGATATGTCATTTCCCACTATGTTTCAATTCATATTACCTATATTTATGCGACAAGTCATTTTTATTTTTTTGAATATATACAAGCATGAAACAGACCGCTTCCCACTATGACGTCTATTGTTCGCACGTACACTATTAGTTGCTCGTCTCATATATATATATATAGAATAATTATCCAATAGCCAACCTTCATTTCTCACCTAGCACATAGATTATCTATCGATTTGATCATTATTTGTATGTTATTGTGTAAAAAGGTAAAAGAGCATTCATACCGAAAATATGTTCGATTTAGATCTATATGTTCGATAAAGATATGTTTAAATTATCTTCACAAGAAAGATATGTATGTACATATAATAGAATTAAATAAGATTAAAGAAAATTAAAGTATATTTTTTGTAATGAAATGAAAATTTATGATTAGAAAATTATATTCTATCATTATTGATGAAAAAGCATCAATTAAAGATGAGAGTTATTCAAGTAATTTAATTCCGATATTTCAATTATGAAGAAT